GCCGCCGCCCTCAGGCGGCCCCTGGTCGGTGGCGGACATCCTGACGGAAGACGACGAGCAAGATCGAGTCCCGCTGCAGAAACTCAAGCTTTTAGGTAATCTCCAGAAGTGGGGTACGTGGGTTGGGTTGGCGGGGGGTGGCCTTAAGCAAAACAATGGGAATTCTGCATTTCCCGGCTTAATTCTGCAAGGTCCGTTTGGGCAGCCCATTGCAAGGCTGTACGGCTCTAATTGTCAGATAAATGGGCTTGAAAAGTTGTTTGTGAAATAAGAGCGCTCTCAACCACGTTTGTAACAAGTTAGAGACTAGCACTGTTTGTCTTTTTTTTCAAGGGGAATCAGAAGAACTGAGAGGCTTGCTCCTGAATCCACATCTCAGGCACCTATTACTAACGATTGATCAAGCAGAAGAAAAAAACTCCCTCATGAAAAAGTACATGCAGGAGCCATTATTTGTTGAGTTTGCAGACTGCTGTTTGAGAATCGTTGAACCCCCAGAGAAGGAGAACATTCTTCCCAAGTGAGCTACTTTGGGGACGTTTTTCTTTCCTTGCAATTTTTATCCTCTGACAGAAGAGATTGTGCAGCACTCTTAAGTTACTGTGGTACATCGTTCTATATTTCTTCTAGCTTTGGTCACACTTCACTCATGGACTGCTGTGCTCTCATTTTCACTCTACTATTGATAAGCAATGACATAGGCAGGCAAAGATACTGTTGGCAAGGAGAGAGTTCTAAATACTAGGAATTAAACTTGGTATTCTGTGGACTTGCTTTCTGTTGGTACAAAAATCCTGTCAACCATAGGAAATGCTTCTTCCCAATTAAAAAAAAAATGTTTTAAATATGTTAGCATTTATCTTAATCCACAAACTAATCTGAAATGTTCTGGTTTATTAAGTCTTGTGGAGGGTCAGACACATTTGCAAGATATTTAACAGTTTATTTAAAAGTGGTGTACACAGATGAACTGAACGTGAGCAGATCCATGTGAGCAACAAAAAGATGGTATAGAGCTCCTCTGATGAGAGCCGAGAACCCTGGTGCCTTGGCAGAGTTGATGTTAGTGACTAGCTAGGGCCAGAAATACACAGCCGTTGTAAGATGATATATATCTTGGTCCCATAAATTTAAAAAAAAAAAAAAAGTACAATCTCACTTTTCCTTGAGACATCTGCCTTCAGTGTTTATAGTTTACTGCTATTCACTTTCTCAGTCGCTGTCAGAAGTGTTAGGATATTACTGCACGCTAGTGTGGTCAATCAGAATAGTTGTTTGTACCTCTTGACAAGAATCCAGCAGAAAACAAGCATTTGCATTTTTCACTGTCTCATTACCAGCCTTTTGCTTCTCCAATGTAGTGCTAAAGTGATCTGTTCAAGTATATATTGTTTAAAGTATTTGACCTATTTTAAGTATGTCAAGTGTTCTCATAGTTTTGACATTTCTTTTAATATGCGCATGTGTGTGACAGGTAGAATGCCCCCCCCCAGCTTGCTCTAAATTTGAAGTAAATTATATGATACATGTAACACAGAGGACTATAGAAAGCTCTGAGGTAGCAGCAGATATGGATGTTGATTAAAGTATTTGAAAGCAGCAGCTAACAGGCAGTCCTTCCCTGAAAAGTACAGTACATGAAGATGGCCAAAATTTATGTTGGAAGGAGTTTTTTTCTGTCCAATAGAATTTGGTTAAATCCAGTGACAGAATAGGTGTCCGAATGGGGAATGATATTTGCATAATGCAGGGGAGACTTCTTACAGTGAAACTTGATAGAGCCCTAGAAGAAAAAGAGGTAGAGAGTTCAATTAATGTTCTGCCAGATTTTGAGCTATATTTTGCTACTTGCGCTAAATAGTGCTTTAATATATAAGCAGCCATTGGACATGAATAAGGATAGAGGAAGTCTTCCAGGACAGTTCTAATAGAAACGGATTTAAGTTAAATCATTGCTACGAACAGCAGCAATAGCATGATTTGAACTAAAATCACTTTAAACTCTAAAGATTGGAGTATCTAGTCAGTGCTTAACTTGGTACATGTTTCCTCCAACTTGTAATAACCTCAAAAACTTATCTACAAAAGGAAAAAAACAAGGGCAGGCACAAGACGACTGGTAACCACAGAGCAACTCAAGAGAGAAGTAAGTGTGGGTTGTGAATTGTTTTTAGTACTATTATGCATGCAAGTGGGAGGTGAAATACTCCAGGGTTGCTCCCAGAGTTGCAGCACTCCAAATCCTCTATCCTGATTAGTCTGTGAATAGTTGTCTGCACGGTGAAGTTAATGCAGGTTTACTGAGATATTAATAAACCCAGTAGCTTTTCCCAAATAGACACTTATTCATGTGTTCACCTGTTGTGCAGCTTCAATTTCCTAAACAGAAAAAATACCTACTACAGAACAGCAGAGACCATATTAGAATCCTTTGCGCTCTGTTTCTAAAGCACAGAGTTTTGATCAGTTTGCTTCTGTGACAGATTAAGGAGAGTTTTCATGCTTAGTTAAAAGTCTCAACTTAGACCTGTGTTTAGCCTGACCTATTTGTCAGACTTTGCTCCTTGCATATATCTAAGCCAGTGGAAAAGAGGAAGACTGTAGCTTGATAGCAGATTTTATGCTGGTACTGTTACAGGATGGTGAACTCAGTCTAAGCATGCTGCTCACTCAAGTGTGTGAGGTGTGTTACCTGTGGGAGAGCTCTTACGGAAGTGATGCCACAGCCAAAGAAACCGTTTTCCACCTTGTAGCTGCTGTTCTGAAGTACTTTCAAGCATGCCAGCAGGGACAGGTCTCTCCGTAGTCCCCCTATGGTAACAGGTGCAGCGGACAAGACAAGACCCAGAGGCCAGAACTGAATTACTGTACTGAGAGGCCAAGTTGTTTCCAAAGGGCAAGGTGAATTGGCTGAGGTCCCCATAGCTCCAGGGAAAAAGGCTGCTTTTTCTTCACCATCATCCAGCTCTTCTGCTGCTAACGCAGTCATTTTTGTCTGATGAAGACATGCAAAACAATATGCTAGAACACAATATTTAAAACTGCAAAACTAAGTTAGAGTCTACACAAGAGGGTACCTTAGAGGATAAGACAGTATTTGGGACATTGTCCACTTGATCAAGATAAATAGGAGAGAGTTCATTCTGTAGCCTTTACACTGCCACCCTGCAGAAGCAGCCATACAAGACTGGAGTCTGTTTTCTGCTCTTCAACTTGAGAAGAGTTTTCTGGAGACCAGACAGTATTGTTTTTGTACAGTTACTTGACAGAGGTAGATTCTTTCCCAAACACCTAAAAAGCCACTCAGTTCAGTGCTTTTCCTTACCAATGTACTTACTTTCCATCTCCTCCAGCCATGCTTTATAACATTAGCAGCCCTGCGCATCCTTCGGAAGCGATTCTTGGCTAACCAGGAACGAATAGCTGAAGATTTAATTAAGAGAAATCTGAGTACAAAGAATCTCAGAAACTGTCGCACATAATGGCACTTAAACTTTCTCCATGTCTAATTAGTATATTCTCTGCTGCCACTTTAAACAGCAAGTGTAACTGGAAATGTTGCTGGTTGCATCATGCTTAACTGCACCCTATCGAATTACCTGCTTGGATGACAGTTGCAGACCTTCTCTCCTTTGCTAGTTTCTTCTGTTTAAATCTTCTCCAGCAACACTGAATGCAAAATGCTTTCTCATTTAACACACGTACTCTTCTAGCTTCAAGTTGCTCTAGCTGCATTGGGGACACAAGCCTGCAGTTAATACTCTGGAACAGAGTTGTGTTCACCCTTCTACGATAATTTGGTGTTTGTCAGAAAACCACATACGCAGCAGCAATTACTGAATATGTATTTCAATTTCCTAAGACTGCTGAATCATGTTTTAAAAGTGAGAGCATTGCATTAATGCTTATTAGCTAACATATCAAATTAAAATGAAAGCATAAATATCTGCACTAGCAGCTGGCTTAAAACTAGCTCTGTTGAAGGGTGTACTTTCATGGGTGCATCCTTCAGTATGTAAGCTTTGTAGAAGTGCAAAAGTGCCTTCATCTTCAGGTTTTCCACAACGAACGTGCTTAGGCCAGAGCAGCCAAGTCTGTCAGCTGAAGTTAGGTAAAGCTGGAATCTTTACTGGAACTGAGAGGATACTAGCGACGCTAAATACAAGTGCAGCTCTGTGTCCATTAACAAGATCACCATTAGACAGTCTGCTTCAGTTGGATTATGATGGATGGACATAGGTTAATAACTTGAAGGAAAAATGCCAGATTCTGGTCCTATTGAAATTATCAGGAGTGTAGCCTAACGTCATGATGATAATCATCTGTGCCAAAACTCTCCGTTATGCAGGTATGCTTCAGAACTCTTAGCCAAGGAAATACCATTCTTACCACGGAATTAGTCATAAATACTTTAGTTTTGCCACAGTACACTGAAGAGTTCTCTGAGCTGTTCCCTCTTGGCTCAGTGGTAGTTTGCTCCATAACCACATTCTGAAGGATGTCGTAAATAACAGAACATGATGGTTTGTCATCATCCACTTCCGGAGTCTCACCTGCAAATGAAGCAGTGAAGAGAAGGTATCACAGAACTTGGAAATTAGGATCAAATAACTGTCTTTATGTGGAGACTTCTTGGCCATTTAGGGAGTATACACCTACAAGGAGGGGAGGGGGTGGTGGCTGAGATATTACTATGCTAGTTCTAGCTATGTTTAATGGAAAAAAATGTAACAGCGAGGATTTCACCATGCGCTAACAACTAGAAAACCAGCCTAATGTGTTTAAATAGGACGTAGTTTGGTTGCTAACCTACGTTGTCTTACCACCTCTATTCTAGCATATTCAGAGCAGCATGGATAAGAAATCACCTTTTGGGCAGATGCAGACAATGAAACAGACATAAGGAGGGCTCAACTGTTCTTGCATTGTTTAAAGCATCCTATGTGGAAACATTAGAAAGCAACAGCAGAGCAATTAAGAATACACTTGAGTAGCTCAGTCCTAAGGAAATCTAATGAAATACCCAAGACTCAAAGCTATTGGGAACAAAGAGCAAAAAAGTACGGGAACTAGACTCACGCTTTCATGTACTGTAAAATACAGGAATAGAAAAGGAAGGAATGCAGCCACAGTTCCAAAGCTTTCACACGGTGCCAGAAGCAGCTAAAGGAATCAAGGAGATGTACTAAGCAGGAGTTTACTATAGCAACCAGGGGTTATTAAAACCATTTCTGGAAAATATACAATTTTTTGTGCATTATGAGACAAGCAGGTTAGACAGATTAACCTACTTGGAAATAGAGGCAGACATAATTCAGACCTGTCCTTCAAAGAGATTATGGTGTTCAAGGCAATGCTGCATGAGTATTCTGCATGCCCAGTGCAGGAACTTGATGGTCTTTGTATCTTTCCATCCTTGATACTGTTTGCTTTTCTGCTATAAATACTTCTAAGGAGATGAGAGCATTTTAAGGCACTGAAAACAAATATAAACAATTGTTGCTTACACAAAAACAACTGGTGACTGTGATAGTGTTCATGGGGCTGCTACTTGGAACAAAAAGCTTATCCATATGTCTAGGAAATTGTTTTGTATATTTGTAGCTTATTACCTGATAAAGATAAAAAGGACTAGTAACCTATCACAATGGGGCGTTTCAGCTAATGGGTTTATAATTGAGGGAGAAAGATATGGTGTGAAAGTAATTTTCCAGCCTATGCTTGGTTACGTCATTCCACTCCCCTGATTCAAAGTAGTGAGCAAGCAATACTTCCTCAAGGTGAATAGATTTCCACCCACATATCTGAAATAGTCTAATACCTGCCTCCCACACTCACGGGTTACTGAATAAACCTATTAGGTGAAGACGGGGTTAAAGTAGGGGAGACAAGGTGAGTTGCAGTAACTTTCAATATTAAATGTAAACACTTGAGCTCCTTCTTTCAGGGGTTCATGCCAAAGATGTTACCTTGTAGAATGGATTACATTTTTTTTTAAAGTCCATCCTCACTCTTGCTTTGGAAAAAGAATCTCATACAGAAGTTTGCAAAAGGTAAAAGAAGCAGAAGAATAGCAGCAGAATCCGAGTAAGCTAGAAGGTCAATGTGTTTGGCAAGAAAACAAGGTGAAAGAAAAAAGAAAGAAGAAATATAAGCAAACAAAAAGGTAAGTGGCTTTCAAGTTTACTTAGGAACCAACTCTAAATCAAATTATATTGGGGGACCCCAAACACCAGTATAACCCTAATCGTTCTACCCAGGATGAAGACAGAAAAACAGTAAGGTGAAATATTTGCAGACTTTCACTGTTTAAAGGAGCCTGCTCTAAGCACTAGGCAACTTAGAAAGTGAAGTGGGTGAAAGATTATAAAAAATATTTTAAGCTTAGGAATAATGGTTTCTGTAGTGCTGAATACAGTAACTGCATCTGATCTATGCCGTATCAAGTTGGTGCAGTGATATATTTTACTTTATAGCAGAGGGACTATCAAAAGAAACATACCTTTTTTCTTGGCAGTATGATAGCTGCTTTTATCGCACACACTGTTTTTACTGGACCCACGTGATTTTCTCAGTATTTCGTAGCGCTCAATGAAACTTTGGAAGGAGACCCTGATAGCCAAAAGTACAGTTAATTTTAGGCGAGTACCATTTATTTACTATGTAATAAATAACTTCTCCTTTGAGGGGAAAAAACTGCAAAATGGCTGCAAAAACACAGCACACAGAATGCAAACAGACTTGTTTGCCTGTGTAGTCACCAGCATGTAAGACACTATAAACTTGCTAAAGAAATTCACGTATTGCCTAACACCAGCCAGTGACATTTGCCTGTAACAGAGACCCGGCAGGAATCATTTTTGTTCACAATAACAGCGATCTTCACTCCATCAGTACTGAGCTGTCCAAAATGTGACTAGCTTAGGCCTTATTCCTCCATCCTCTAATGTTGGTCAAACGTTAGTTAGTCACTCATAAAGCCTAGTGAGGTGACTGACTCGGATGACTGGATTTCCTGCTCTTCTGAATAGCTAATACCCCAGTAATTACTATAGAATTGAATTATATAAGTCACTGCTCAAGAAGTTTGGACTTACCTAATAGGGAAGCCAGCTGCACTGATGGTGATGGCTTCTACTATTCCACATGCCTGAAGCTGGCTGAGAACCTGAGACATAAATTGAGATGGTTTAGGCAAACTCTGTCTTATTCCTTGTGGATGCTGCAAATAAGGTCTGCACGGGTTAAGCTTTATCCAAGCCATGCTCAGCTCAGCAACCAAGCCAAGAGCTTGGCTGGTGTATACCACCACAGCGGCAGTCAGTGTACAAATGGAGAGGGGGAGAAGGTAAATTACGCAGCCACTTAACTATAGCCTTACGTAACACTGGCAGTAGGGTCAGGGCAATGCTAATATGCAGGGACAGTCCTCTCATGCCCTCTCTAGTGCATGCAGCAGAACATGGAAAGCCAGCTGGTATTCTAACGCTTTCTTGCATGCAATCAGCAAATCCTCAGCGTGTTTAAAATTAATGCGGTGCTTTCTGAGCTGCTTTTTTTTTTTTTTGAACGATGAGTTTCTCTTTTGTTATAGCTTTAGCATCTGCTGCTCTGCTCCCAAAGACATGCTTGTCAGCTGATCTCATCCAGCTTGGCTGTCCTCCCAGACCAGACACCAGGAGCAAGCAAAGCTGTATCATGGGCACACACTGTGAAGACCTATGTGTGACTGGCACTGCTCACCAGTCAGATTACCTTTATCTGCTTGAGGGCTGGGATGCTAGCACCCCAGATAACCCAGGAGCACCATAAAGAAGGTTTCTCATACAGCAAGATTTAAGTTGCATCTGGGAGCGCTTCTGGGAAGACTAGCTCTGTTCTAGAGAAGCATCATCAGTGATGCTGAAAGAAAGTTTATCTTGAAAGTTCCAAAGTCGGGGGGGGGGGGAAGTGCTTGAAAAAGAACTTTGCAAGGGAATCAAGATCATACAAGACCCGACGCGAAGCCCTGCGCAATGTCTATAGGAAGCCTCCCACTGACTGAGTGAGGAAAGGCTTTTGGAGAGTTACCTCTTCTCTTTTAAAAGTCATTGCCCTGCAGTCAGCATTAGGCTTGATACATCTGATATAATGAGGTGCAGTGCTGTTCAAGATCTGCATGAGATGTTCAAGCGAACCCTGTAGAAAACAAGCATGGGTATACTTAGTTATTCCTTCTCCACAGATAGTTTAGCTAATCAGTGGCCTTGTATCAAAACAATGAGGCTGTTTTTTGCAAGGATGGTATCAGCTGGTCTTTAAGACCAGCTAGAGTGAAATTCCACTCCATGGATGCATTTTTAAAAATTGTTTTTGGAAGTGGATTAAAACTCTAAACCTAGAGAATCAAAGGAGTCTAAAGCTATTTCAGTTTTATAGCTGTCTCATTTGATAACATTTATTTATGGAACTTGGCCCAACTAAACTGTTTTCTCACCCAATTAGGAAGACAGCAGTAGAAAGCAGAAAGTTGAATAGGACGTACCTTGAACTTTGACACCACTGTAACAACAGCTGCCCTGTTCTGGGTTTTGAGGTTATTTTCATTGCTTTCTGTCACAGGAAATAATTTTTGAAGCAAAGGGTCCTGAGAATTCTGCAAAACATGGACGAGCTCTGGTGGAATGGGGTCCTACAAACACAAGCATGATTCATTAGTATATGGACTAAGGCAGAAAACTGTCACCTTTGAAGATTAATATTTCACACATATGGATTGAATAATAATTATTTCAGACATTATACTTCTGATGTCAGTTTTGATTTAACCACAGGTGCAGTTTCAAATCTGCTACATTCATTCATAGTTAGATTCAGGAACAGAAAATAGGCTTTGGCTGAACGTTTACCAAGTCTAGTTAAATGTACGACTGCTACTGACGTTTTTCTCGTTATGCAATTTAAATGAGTTAGAAGTCTCAGGACTAGTTTACTCCTGATAGGACAGTCTGCAGCAGACATCAGAGTGTTTTCCTTTTAATTAGGAGAGGATATTTCATTGCATCACCATAATACCATTTGCTGTAATTCCGGGTGATGTCGGAACTGAAAAGGGATCCTCTTATTTACGGATGATCACATTTGTTTCTCAGGGGGCACAAGGAAGGCCAAAACTTATATTTTCTGGTACTTTCAGGAGAAATTTCAATAGTCAAGTCCAAGCTGCTGTTTCTCATAAACTTGTATTAAATTGTATGGCCAACTAAGTGCTATATTTATGGTTATATGAATGTCCTGATGCCATCAACACTTCTGCATTATCTCAGGAATGGAAGAAGCCCTGATTTGGTGATACATGACTCACTTAATCCTTAGCCTAAAGGTCTGCTAACAAAATTCTGTTTTACATGTGCTGGTGATGGTTCATTAAAAACCAGACCAAGAACATTACCCAATTTTACACTGCCTGAACAACTTCTGGAGCAGGATGAGTATATCCACTAAACATTGCTGAATATACATTTCAGTGCTGCTTTGATTTAAAACTGCTTTTTTGTTTTTTTTTTTTTTTTTAAAATCAGCTTATTCTAAAAAACACCTACCTTATTTTTCTCTGCCATTGCTGCCAGCTGATAGCAGACTTTGCCAGCATAGTGTGAAATAATAAAATTAGGCTTCTTGCTAAACTTGTTTTGACTTAAACATTGGTTATTAGACAAGGCTTTCTCAATCCGAGTTTGAAATAGGTCAATGTTAGAGGATCTATTCAGACGACACTCCTGCATAACAAACAAGAAAAAATTGAGGCATTTGCTATTTGCCATAAACAGCTGTCTTTAATAATTAACATACAAGACATTTTTACTTAAAATCATAGCCATTTTACTTTTCTAATGACTCCTGTTATGCAGGCCCTGAAATACTGTGAAAAAGCTAAAAATGTTTAATGAATTTGCTATTCTGAAAAATAAGTTCTGCAGAAGTTTTATAGCTGACAAGTTTTGTACTAATTTAGTGCTAATGTTTTCTTTGGTAGCTTGGGAAGTGGGGGGTAACTAGGTTAGAAGCATTTGGAGTTTAGATCTGCACTTACCTCATTCAGCAAAGAAAAAATGCTGAGAGGACTGCCCTCTATCAGATCAAGGCAGTGCTGGTTGTCCTGGTAATTTACGAAAGACCATTCTAGACCTTCAGCTGCATATTCCTCCTGAAGCGAGAGAGAGAGAGACTGGATATTCTGCAGCAGAGGGCACTAGAGCACAAATAACTGTATACTTTTTTGCAGGTTGATTCAGTTACCGTTTAACAAATTAATCCCAGATTCAGCCTACTCATCCAAAACGCAGCTCAAACTCAATGGTAATCTTGAGTGGGGAAAAAAAAAAAAGAGGATACTCTGCTCCAAGTAGCCTTTAGGTAAGTAGCACCAAGATCCCACTGGAACAATTTGTTTTAAGTATTTGGGAACTTCACAGATTTATCAGCCAAAGTTGGAAAGATGCTTTATGGACTAAACAGAGGCTGTACTGGTTTTTCCCTTGAGGGGCAAGGAACACACAGGCCTCCTTTCTTAGTTTAGGGCTATGCCCCAGTTTAACTGATACATGCAAAGCTTTATTAACTGAGTACTGTTTACAACAAAGCCTGATCCAGAAAAGGAAGGGGAGAAAGATATTGATTGAAACAACTTGTACAATATTTATGCTGAATTACAGAACAAACTGTCAGGGGTGTTTAGGCAAGCGCAAGCTCTAGTTAGTTATTTTAAGTCTCCTGCCAAAAGCTTGCTCAGCACAGCCACTAATGGCATATAAGTGGTTTGGCACATACCCAAATAAAGAGAGGTTAGAGTAATTGGGAGGGATACTGTAAACAGAGGTCATGAATCAGTTTCAAGGAAAGTAATTGTGCGCTTGAACTTGGTTTCCATCTTCACTGACCATTAACCCTGGGCGTGCTTAGGAGGGCAGGCAGAAAAGAAGGTTGGGCATAGGAAAGCACAAATTATGGTCAAAATGATACTTATCTCCTCAATAAATTGATACGACTATGCTGTGAGGCAGAGGGGGGCCGTCATCCCAGTGCCATAAAGAAAATAATTTCTCCGATTCCAGTTAATGGCAAAGAGCATTATGGTAACGTATGCATAACGTAGAAGAATTCAACCAGGACTGAACTACTGCTATTAGACTGGCAGTCCAGGCCTGACAGGGACTTTGTAGCTTTCAGAGCACTTCTCCTAACACAGACAGATACAGCAAGAAGGATTATTCAGATGAGAACTGGAATTAGCAGCATGTGACCAACTAGGCAAGAGACTGCGATATATTTAGCATGGTCCAAAGTACCTTCCCCGCTGTGAAACAACACAGCTCGGGTACCTCCTCATTCAAGAATAAAAGCTAATGTGATGTATGTCTGTCTTTAAAGGTACTAGCATAACAACTGGATTTATGAAGCTGTTCTCCTGTGCCAGAAGGCCTTCACAAGATACTGCATTCCATTTATGTACAGGTTACAAGGCCTGGCTGGGCTCTCTGCCTTGGAAGTAAGTTCAGCTCTTACATTTAGGCACTTTGTATTCGGGGAAACAGAATTACCATGTTTATAAGCAGCAGCTTCCAAGAGAATCATAATGTAGGCTACGCTCACCTCAAGAGATGCCCATTTTAGTTTTATGTGTTTGGCTCTTTGAGGGAAGCCAAACAATTGAACAGACCACAGAGTCAATGGAGTTCTATAATGGGGAGGATTTCTAGTACCCTAGAAGAGTGAACGGCCTCCACCATCTGCCCCACGCTCTATTCTTTAAACAAGCAATTTTTACTGACATCCCACTGACTTCTGTGACATTATTTGCTTGAATGAGGGCTACAATCTGACCAGAAGCATAGAAACAAAATTCAGAGACAAAATATTCTGTTTTAAAATTAGCTATTTAACATCTGATCTTAGTGGGATATTACCTGTTGTGCCTTCAGATAGTGTGCTACAAAGTGCTGCTGTAGTTTCTCATTGGCATAATTAATACAAAGCTGTTCCAAGTTGTTTTCAGGGAAAGATTCAAAACCATAAACATCCAGCAAACCTAGGAGGAATATGGGAAGATAGTGCATTTTTGTCTAGGGGTAGCTTGAAGGACTTACGTTTACTCAGTTAGACCAGGGATGAATAACTGTACCTATGAAGTTGGTCCACGCCAATGGATCTGCATAGATGCTTTCGTTGATGACCAAAACAAGCCATTCAAACAATCTGCAGACAACAACAGCTGCATTAGTTGAAAAAGTCCTCACTTAAAAATGAGTAGTGCTTCTTTACTACTGCTTTTACCAGTATCACGTGGAAGAAACAGAGTTACGACATGCTCCTGGCTGACACGAAACAGCAGTTCTCTGAAGATCTCATACATACTGCAGCTATGCTAGTATCTGTGACTGAATCAAGGGTGCGGGGAGAGGGGAAGGGACAGTTATGCTATTACTATGTCCAAGCCAATGCCAGGAAAAGAAACTTTCCCTGGCCTTGCTGTTACCTCACAAAAGTTATATGGATTAGCACAGCAGCCTGGCCCATGTGCTCTTACTTAGCATAGATCACTTTGGCCAGGCAGTCCCTCCTAGTCTCACATTCAGCTCTGGAGCATGGCTTCTTGAAGACTTGTTGTTGTTTTCCAGCAGTTATTGTTCGAATTCTTAATGCTTCTAGCAGCTCCTCCATGGGTATCTTCAGTAAATCTCCAGTGGTCTTCACAAAATCTTATTAAGATAATAAAATGTTGCAAGATTATCTGAAAGTATCAAATGAACGCAGTCCCTTTATAGTTCTGGAAGGTCTAGAGATGATACCAAAAAACTGACTCTTCCATGACGTAACAAACTTAAATGGGGGATATTGGATATTTTACCCAAACTTGAGAAAAAGTTTTGCAAGACTAGCTTCTTAATTTGGATGTACAGTACCCCTAGAAATGCAGGTTCTCTATTTGAAATGATACAACAGTATCAAAAAAGTCTGGAATTTGCCACACCAAAGTAGGCATTTTTAGACAATACTCTTTAAGTATGTCTTTGTTATTTTTTCACCTTTTTGAGCACAGACTTCTAAATCCTCACAGAGGACACAAAGCAGTGATGACCAGATAAAAAGGAATTTGTGGGATAGTAAAAGAATGTAATTTCTTCATAAGAGGAATATGTATTTGCTAACAAAGCATTTTAAGATCTTGCTAACATGAGCTGTACTCGAAACTGTTTGAATATTGAATAGCGTGAGTTCAGAGCATATGAAATAGTAGGAAATCTTACTGTTTAGACCAGGGTTTTAGTTCTGAAGGAAAATTAGAGCCATAAACCTCCTGAAGATGCACAAAACAACCCTATGTTCTATGCTCTAATATAACAGACTTGCTATGAGTAAGTGGAATTCCAGTGTTTAATAAGAAAACTTCTGAGCCTTAATTTTAAAAGCCCTGTTCTCCACTCTGGGTCAGATTTCTGGAAGTCTTGTGATGTCAGTGTAAGATTACAATCAAAAGTAACAGGTCTACTGATAATCCCTTCTGAACCGACTGTCTAACGTTGCAGTTTCCTTGATCTGTAACGGAAGAGTATCACCTCTCAGAGCAGAAGAGCCTGAAGTTTGTGTTTGTGCAATACATTGAAACCACGAAGTACTGAACAAAAACACACTTAAATTTTGCTCTGCCCACCACCCTGCTAGTCTCTTATCAAGCCGAAGTGTGTAGTAAATCTTTCCTTTTAGGCAATTTGCAGTAAGATAACAACAATCTCTGGATCTTGGCATGTTTGGCGCCTCACCTTTGGCTTTGTTTTCTAGTTCACAAGGCTGAGATTCATCCACTGAATTAGAGAATTGAACGTTCCCAAGATGGAGAAGGCCTGACAATACCTAGAACATAAACAATCATTTAATTTTCTAAAACGGAGCTCGCCTTCAAGGCAGCGTCCTTTCAGCTTTCCCCTTTCCACGTGAACAGGACAAGTCAAAACATTCCTACAGGGAAAATGCAAGTAGATTTCAAGCTTCTAGGTTAATTCCTAATCTTGCACAACTATTCACAGGTGCTGGCTTTTAGTTAAAAACTAATATTCAGTTAGCAATCTAATGTGTAGCCGCAGGCCCTCAAGTCAGGATCACTGCATCTGGTATCAAATGACCCATGCTCTGTACATTGACACAGATTTACTGCTGCAGAAATCCCATATTAAAAAGAAAGACATCCCAAACATCATCATCAGCTTCATAGTGCCTGTGCTGCACTGTACCTGACCTTGAAAACATTGTTCTGTGTGGAGTGATCAATGCCCAAGTGAAACATTGCATCTCTGGTCACCTTGAAGCAGTCCTCTGAAAAGCCAAACAGGTGTTATTTAAAAGAAAGCCATGCACAAAAACACAGGCATGCAGAACGCTACGCCACATCCGGTTTAGCTAGAATTATCAAAGGAGATCAAGGAAGCCAGATGCTTTTTTGGTAAATTCCAGAGTACAAGCCACTGACTTACTGCTGACTCTGTGGGTCTCACAGATGAGGCAGCAGGTTGCTGAAGCACATCAAAATTTCAGACAGCTTCTAAACATAGCCCCAGAGAGATGCAAATGCTCTAGGCCAGAAACCGCTATTTTAAGTCAGGTGAAAATTCTTAATAGTGCAAAATGAAACTTATACAGAATCAGATTCATGCAGGTAGCTTTGCAAAATGTCTGCTGTGGCCACACCAGGAGTCAGTTGGCTGACCGACTTGGGTCATGCAGTTTAATGTGACAGACACATTTCTGCCCATCCCCACTTTAAAGTTACAGTGGACCGTCTGTGAACCTAATTTTTACCATCTAAGTTTTTTTCAGAATTTGGCAGCCAGCGGTAGTCAGCCCCTTCAGGAAGGTTCCATTCCAACCTCTCTTCTGCAGTGGCACCTTTTGTGATCTGGAAACCGAAAACAAGGTAATGACTGAATTCTGCCTTTGGTATTTACATCTCACAGAGGATTAAAAATAGCGCACTGGGAGCATGATTTAATTTGAAAACATGGCAGGGAGTAAACAAACAGGAAAACTGTTAAATATTGGAAGGCTCAACTCTGCTAAATTTGGTAATTTCATCCCCACTGTTTGTCAGAAATATCTAGAAAAATTAAGTGACACAAACCTGATAAAAAATATGAAAGTTTCTTTCACTGGGGGCCTGATAGGCAACTCTGGTCTTCTCCAAAAGGAATGTCTGAATGGAAGCACTACTCAGATGGTGGAATCTAGAGAAAAAAAGATTGAAGATTTCAACTAAATTATCTCAAAAATCTGATAGGTATCCTATTGTCACAATACAGACTGACTAGGAATGTTCCGCGGTCCACCTTCAGTTTTGTGCAAGTTTATTGTAGTTTTATTTAGAATTCTTAAACGCAACTCTCATTTTTCATTGCTCTCTTTTAAAGATCAGGATAAGTGCTGGTAGAAAAAAAGAAATAATAACAAACTCAGGAAATGAATGCCTGCCCCAAACAAAAGCATGTTCTGAAGATAACTCCATACCCAAAATATTCTATAGCAGACTTTTGAAATAGGTTTGTAATGATTTAAAGAAAAAAAAAAAAACAGATAAGCATTTTACACAGTAGTTATTACCTGTCTAATTGAAGCTGGATATATTTTCCAAAACGGCTACTGTTGTTATTCCTCAGGGTACATGCATTTCCTGTGAAGTTACCAGTGACAGATACAGTGTGATCAGAGTGGTTTTGCTCTTACATGTAGGACATATAGACATTAAGGGCAATTTGTATATTGTTTCAGTATTTGAGGAGTTTTCTTTTAAGGAGAGGAGCAAGACATAGCTTAGACTTATGCATTAACAAAGAAAATTCCTACAGTGGCAATTACTTCTCTCTGCTGTTAAAAAAGCCACATATACCAAATGCTTCCATGACAGGGTTGGAATCCAAAACTCTCTTCTCTATCCTTTCCACCATTTCATTGCCGTTTGGGGAAGTAACTGAAGCAGCAACAGTAGCATAAAATTTCATAAGGCAGCGAGATGTCCAGGTCTGCAGGAGAGAGAGACGTGACAATAGACAACTTGTTTTTACCATCTTATTAGTTATGTTAGTTAGTAAAACAGTGCTGGCTTCTAAGAAAAACACAGTATGTGGCTGGCAATGATACTAAAGAGAGTAACTATATCAGGTTTATAGCTCCAGTTCAGCAGAAACTTTTTGTGCATATGCTTATGTGCAACATTTAAGTGCCATTGGAATATGAGTACTTTACTGAATGGCAGTTTTATCAAGATGTAACCATCTGGAAGCTCAGCTAGAATTAACAGCTAGTATGTATAAATGGACTTTGAGCCATTAACACTCAGGCTGTTCTCGTTCTGTTCTCAGGCTTCAAAATATCCTTAAGTATTTTGCTGAATAGAGAGGCATCATTGCAAAAGGGCCTAGGATTGGACTTGAACTCCCCCACCTCTTGTTGGTCTTTACACAGGGTTCGCTGAGACCCATACTTGCTCCCTAACGGACTGAGACTGAGTAGCAGAGATTTCCCTCAGGTGATACAATTTCCATTGAATGATTTGAATCTAGCCTTCCTAGATGTTACAGGGGTGGCCTAAAGAACAGTTATATTAGGTACAATCTATTTGACTGCAGCAGTCACTTAATGCTTTACACATATTTCAAGAGAGTCTTGCTAGAATAGACTGGCTACGTGCTCTGTCAAGAGATTTTTTTTTTGCTAGCTCACCAAAATACTTTGTACCACTGAATCTCAAAACATAAAAGCAATGTCAGGAAAACAGAAAAAAATCTCCTTACCTTCCCAGCACCACTTTCTCCGCTAACAATTATAGACTGGTTTATGGGATCTATCTGGCTTTGGACATTTCTGTAGGTTTGCTCAGCCACTGCAAATATGTGAGGTTTTAAATCCTGGCAGTAAAACAGAATATTTATATTTAAGAGACCAGTAATGACACAGTTCAACAGCAATGGACAGCAAAGGTCCTCTCACATCTATCTGAAAAAGAGTATTGCTTATATAGCAGTACTCTTATTTCACTAGAAATGGGTTTTATCCTTTATTATGGGTTTTTATTATGGCCTTATTATGGGTTTTATCCTATTATTTTGTGAAGAACTTGACATCTTCTGAGTTCTGCAGATGGACCTATTTCAAACATAAGGGTTACCTGAGGGCGAAGCGCGACATGATACTCTCTCATAAGCTCAGGTGAATAGAGGCAGGAGATAGACTGAAATGGATTTAAAGCCACAAGGCTGCAGCCAGCATTTGTATAAAACAAGTTTACTGCATATCTTGCTTGAAGACATTTCAGAACTGAAAGATAAACCTTCTATTAGCATCTTTTGAAAAGTATATTTGTCTCTTCTTTTCCCTATTTCTAACAAAAAACTTCAGATATGTTACCTATTAGGTTTAATAGAGAATAAGACATTAAGCAAGAGAGTAATGTATGTCTAATATACATAATAATGTCTTTAAAGAGTTGATCTTATTTTTTAAAAGCTTAAGGCATCTGTTAATTATTTAATTCAATAAATCCTGTGCTTCAACAAGGTTTTACATGATCAGCCCTAGACAGTAAATCTGTTCTTTTGCAGAAAAGACAGAGGCAAGAATTCTCCATACTGCACTATGAACAGGCCTTAGTTTGTCTTAACAGGGCCTTCTTTAAAAGTAAAGTGAGAAATTCACATTTCAAGACCAGTTTCATGGATGTATTTTGATCTAAGTCAGAGCCTCATTTTCTGAGCAGCCTGAGACATCTAGGAATAAGATATGCTCATATAAAACTGAACTGCAATCACAAGGTCATGCATGAGTCCTTCAATAGCACTGATTCTTAACCACCCCCTGGTTGCCTGGACTAATAATACAAACGTGAGTTCTGCATGCAGAGCTTGCTGAGAGATCAGTACAATTAAATCTACAATAAAAGTGCTGATAAAAAGAATCAATCAAGCCAAACATGCATTTCTAAGCTGACTTTAATGGGCTTTGAATCTTTAATTACTGTGTTCATGATAATATTAACACGATGAGAACAGTAACTACCATACGTTGATGGCCACTAGGGAAAGTGACTCCTCAGGAGATGCCTCTGCTGGCTGTCTGCTTACCTGTTGTACTTGTCACCGGATTTACTTTTGTTAGGTCGTCAAAAAGATGCAGTTTCTCTTCATCACTGAGAAAAGCTCTAACTTCTTCTTCAAATGAGTTGCTGAGGTCACTCTGAAGGACAGAGTCGTCTTTTTGGCCGTTTACCTGGAAAGGACAAGAGAGATTAGCACCAGTCAAAGCCTGAATGCAGTCGGATTTTCACCTTGTCAACTATAGTTTATAGCTCTTCTCCCTCTTCCCAATAACAGCAGTTCAGTCTCAACAGGAATCATAACTTAGTATATTTGAGCTACTCTTCCTCTCAGTTTGAAAGCAACGAACGCCTTCCCCTGCCCCTGCCTCAATGCTTCCCAGGGCACGTTCTGTATTTAGAAAGGTATTATCTGGCATATGAGAGATGGCAGGCTGACAACACCATTTGTAAGCTGAATTCATCCCTGACAATTCTGGTTGCAAGGAAGGGCACTTGGGAAGAACATGTCCTTAGGATCACGCTACCTGGTGTGTGGAATTTTACAGATCGTTCAGCACAGACACACTTATACAATGTTCTTAACCAGTAGATTTCTAAGCCTCTGAATGTCATCCATTCAGTACAAACACTGCCTTGAGCAGGGGGAAGCAGAAAGGACTGGCTGCAAAGGCTAAGGCAGAGCAGAAAGCTACTGCGGTCCAACAGAAATGCAGTTTTCCTCGGAGAGACCTTCATTTTTAGAGCAGAGATTGATGGCCCCAAGCGTGAAGTTGCAGAGTGTGCACATGTCAGCCAGGGAAAGAAATGGTGGCATTATAATACCTGGCCTGCATTAGGTGAACATTCATCCCCTTTGAATGTCTTTATGTATTTAAATCCTAGCCTCTGGGCTCCCATGTCCTTGACAATATTAGTTGGAAGGACGCATTCGTTGTACAAACGTAATGGAAACTTTAGCCAGCAGAGAGATTTCAGGTCCTGCTTGTCGTTTTTTGGGGAGGGAGAGAGGGGCTAGAAGTGAAAATTAAGCAGAGAAAAGAAGCCAATCCTGATTTTTGTATTCTGGATATTCCTTTTTTGTTCCCCTCCTCCCTGACAGAAACTCCTTCAGAGTAACCCTACTCATTTGTATTTAGTATCACAAATTCTTTACAAGTTAACCAAGTCAATGAACAGTGTCACCTTGTTTATACAAAAAAAAAATGCTCAATTCAGATAGCAGCATTTCCATTACATGAGCTAAACTCATTAATAAAGGGGAAAATGTACTGTAAAATCCGTAATACCTTTCTAAAAAAAAAAAAAAAGCAAGAATAATAAACTCATTTAGGAGCTTTGTATCTTTTGCAGAGAGCATAAGTGGCTCATTTCCAGTAATACAAAGTTTTACATAGCAAAGACAAAATGCTTAGCAACACAATTAAGTGTCGCCATCAAAGTGATTTCTGTTACTCTATTCTGAATGAACATTAAGAAGCTTGCTGCTTTCACAGAGAACAGGCATACAGAATTATAAAGTACTCCACGGACAAGATCAGTTTTTGCAAATTACCCATTCTTCCTCTGCCCTCCAAAGTTTACTGTGTTAGGTTTACACCAAGAGAGTTCTTAAGAATTCCACTGTGCTATTAATATTGCAAGACCTGAGAAAGGGCTTCCTTTTGCTGGCGTGAACCCATTTGTTCGACATCCCTTGAGATGTTGATCGCTTAGCCAAAAGAAAAACAAAAACTGAAAATACAATCACTTCTAAAATACCTGTACTGTACAGCTCATGCATCCATTAATTTTGCTGAAAAGATACCCTTAAGAATGTGCTACATGTATTAGCACTTGCCCAATTAAAGCCAATGGCACAGCAACAACCACTGCTTTGTTTTAGTAACACAACTCAAAACCACACAGTTAACAGGTCCAGTTTGTCATTGGCAAGCTTACGGAGTAGTGCTGAATATACACTAGTAGTCACCTTGAGCTTGATGGCATGGAAACAAGCCAAGAATTCTTTCCTAGCAGTAACATTTAATTAGGACATACAAATCCTGGTTTGCTTTTACCTGCTTTGGCATCTTGGCGATTCCCTAATGCAGCATAGGTGAGCATGCAACTCTGTGAACAGGAACACTGGACAGCAGAGTTGGTTGAGCCTTTACTCTGGGGTGTCTCTTTCAAAGTAGACTGAAGAGCCCTTAGATTAAAAAAAAAGGCATTTAGAACAAAATACTTGCAAACATATCATTTTGCAGAGGGTTCCATAAGCGCAGTCCAAGGGTTTAACAAGTTTAACTGATCCAGTGTGGCCTAGGTAACACTGGGGCTAGTGAGCCTACCCATATTATCAGAGGGATCATACATGGTGTTTGTCCCTGTAAATGAAGCTTATTTGGAGGAAATAACATACTTTTCTTTACTGCAGGAATAAAGTACTTTGTTTCTCTTGAATTAATAAAGCAAGGTTTCCTGGCGAGAATTTGCAGCTTAGTTTTTGTTCAATTCCTGCTTTTAGGGCAAATAGGAAAAATTTGTGCGTCTGACAGCATCAGCTAAGTTAGTGTTTTTGGGAAAGGTGTGACGGGCAGAAGCTTCATATGTCAGTAGAAACAAGACACCCTTGTTTGCGTCTGACTTTTTCATGCTTCCTCCAAAAAAAAAACAAAAAAACAAAAAACCAAACCCCCCCCCCCAAAACCAAGATCCTTACCTTTTGCTTCAAGACGAGGTGGGTCAAGCTCACTTTCTGAATTCCTGTGCTGGAAACGAGAGATTCCTGTCGCCCAGCCGGGGAGAATTTTACCTTCAGTAGTGGAAAAACACCCTTACTTACCTGGCACGGCAAGGGTATTTAGAGAGACTACGGTGATGCCCTAGCTGAA